TCTGTCAATTCTTTGTCATCAGTTAGGAACCTAGGTGTGCTATTTGATAGCAATCTTTCGTTAGAAAGCCACGTTTCTAGCATTTGTAAATCTGCATTTTTCCATCTCAAAAATATATCTAAATTACGACCTATTCTCTCAATGTCAAATGCAGAAATGTTAATCCATGCGTTTATGACCTCAAGGTTAGATTATTGTAATGCTTTATTGGGTGGTTGCTCTGCGCACTTAATAAACAAACTCCAGCTGGTCCAAAATGCAGCAGCTAGAGTTCTTACTAGAACCAGGAAGTACGAGCATATTAGCCCGGTCCTGACAACTCTGCACTGGCTCCCTATTAAACATCGTATACATTTTAAAATCTTGCTAATTACTTATAAAGCCCTGAATGGTTTAGCACCTCAGTACTTGAGTGAGTTCAAATCACATTATAGTCCTTCATGTCCGCTGCGATCTCAAAACTCTAGCAATTTGATAATACCTAGAATATTAAAATCAACTGCGGGCGGAATATCCTTTTCCTATTTAGCGCCCAAACTCTGGAATAACCTACCTAACATTGTTCGGGAGGCAGACACACTCTGTCAGTTTAAATCTAGATTAAAGACCCATCTCTTTAACCTGGCTTACACATAACACACTAACACATTTCTAATATTCAAATCCGTTAAAGGATTTTTTTAGGCTGCATTAATTAGGTCAACCAGAACCGGGAACACTTCCCATAACACCCGATGTACTTGCTACATCGTTAGAAGAATGGCACCTACGCTAATTAGCGTTGTTCTGGAGGCAGACACACTCTCAGTTTAAATCTAGATAAAATACCATCTCTTTAACCTGGCATACACATAATACCACATTTCTATAATTCAAATCCATTAAAGGATTGTTAGGCTGCATTAATTAGGTCAACTGGAACCGGGAACACTTCCCATAACACCCGATGTACTTGCTACATCGTAAGAAGAATGGCATCTACGCTAATATTGGTCTGTTTCTTTCTTATTCCGAGGTCACCGTAGCCACCAGAGCCAGTCTCTATCCAGATCAGATGGTGGATCAGCACCTAGAGACGACCTCTACAGCCCTGAATGTCCGCGGCGACCATGTTCACTAGATGCGCCCCAGTTTTTTTCTCTATTTCTGTCACCAATGGAGTTTTGGTTCCTTGCCACTGTTGCCTTTAGCTTGCTTAGTTGGGGAAACAATTTCTGCCAATATTGTTGACTTGATTGCACAGATACTGTTTGAAGAGAACTGAACTGAGCTGGATGATGGCATCACTGAATCAACAATGAAACGACGTTAACTGAAAAACTGATTGTTTTCTATTGTTCTTTTTCATTATCAGCACACTTTTTTTCTGTTTGACACTGTAAAGCTGCTTTGACACAATCTGTATTGTATGAAGCGCTATATAAATAAAGGTATATAAAAAAGTGTCTGCCAAATGAATACATGTAAATGTAAATGATCATACTCGCAGCCATGTGCTTACCATCTAGCTTTCCTTGCCATTTTTCTTTAAATGAAAAGGTCGATAGAGAACAGCAACAAACTCCTCTTGCACAGCGCAAAGTGTTGTGGATAATATACAGAATATACACAGCGAACACAAATATGCACTATGAAACAGTAGACATGGGCATCAACATAACCTCAATGTTGCCCTATGCCCTACCAGAATCTCAGTCCCCATAATGCAGCATATATTAGTTCCACATAGATCATATTAGAGTCCATCTGAAATCAAATTTGACACTATTTACTTTGTTAGCATACATTGCTAGTCTTGAGGTGAACAATTAATCTGTGCAAGTTTACTCAGAAAACAAAACGTTTTTCTTAGTAAATGTTAATTAAAATTTGAAAATTAGCTTCCACTCTTCAATGGCATTCCTTTTCTGATGGTGTCAGTTTGACCGCTTGGGCAGAATATCCATAACCACTCACCTCCAACCATTAGTTTGCTGCAATCAAGAGATGAACAGTAGGTGTGGTAAAATAAAACCATGTCCTCTATTCAATATTCTGTTTCAGTTGGAAATACGTCACAATACTGAAGCATTGCTTAAAATAATTAGTGGGAATAGTCAGGTTGGTTAGTGGGTGTAGGAATGGCAGGGTTGGGTTTACACACTATATGCAACAATGCATCCAACAAAAATACTGATCACACTAGATTTATTCATCCTCATTCGCCTTTTTAATTATATTTCCTCTTTACAGATGAAAATGAATGTTTGACTCAGCCTGGGGTTTGTGAGAATGGTCGATGTGTGAACACTGTGGGCAGCTACACGTGTGAATGTGGCGTTGGATTCAAAACTGACTCTACAGCCACACAATGTCTTGGTAAAACTTCTTTCTCGACCCTGAACATAAAGTCCGGGACACACCAAGCCTACTTCAAAGAACTAGCGGCAACAAAAGCCGACAATGTCGTCGTCACCTCACGTCGGCAGCGTCTAGACCAAAAAGCTGCAAACTAACACGTGCATTCTTCTCCTACATGAGAGGAACTGTCTATATCAGGACAGAATATATCAGAATATCAGTTATGTTGATAACTTTCTTCATTTTAAGCAGCTCATATTATTATGAAAATATTTGCATAATGGATTGCTTGAAGCCGACAAGAGCTGACGTGTGGAACACACCAAACAAAACTAGCCCGACAGACGCTTGCCGACTTGTATGTGTCCCGGCTTAAAGCTGACCATACTGTATGTCAACTAGCGTGTGCAATATTGACAAGAAATCAAATGCCTAGGTCTTCAGCTCGGCTCCTGGGGACTCACTGTCCTGCAATTTTTTTTCTAACCTGCTTCAGCACACCTGGCCTGTGATTTTTCAAGTGATCCTGAAGACCTTGATTAGTTGGTTCAAGTGTGTGTGATTAGGGTTGTAGGCTAAACTCTGCAGGAGAGTGGGTCCCTAGGAGCAGGGTTGAAGACCTATGGCATAGCGCAGGGGTGAGCTACCTGGAGAGCTATCGTCCTGCAGATTTCAGCTCCAACCCTAATGAAAACACATCTGAACCAGCTTATAAAGGTCTTCAGGGTACCTTGATAATTACAGGCAGGTGTGTTAGAGCAGAATTGGAACTGAAGTCTGCAGGACAGTAGCTCTCCAGGAACAGGGTTGGAGATCCAGGGCATTTTTAAACTGTGATTTCTCCCAGAAAGTGATTTGGCCACAATGATATGCACTACGCCACTGAATGTGTGTGTTGTGGTGTGTATTGTGCATTTTTAGTCTCTAATGAAATGTGAGTTGATTCGTGTTGTGATGTTTGACTCTCAGATTACAGGCAAGGCTTTTGTTTCACTGAAGTTCTGCACACCATGTGTCAGATGTCGTCCAGCAGTCGTGTCCCTGTCAGCAGGTCTCAGTGCTGCTGTAACAGAGGCCTCGGGTGGGGGGACCAGTGTGAGCTCTGCCCTTTGCCTGCTACTGCCAACTACAAGAAACTCTGTCCATATGGCCATGGCTACGCAACTGACGGGACAGGTGCAGACACAAAAAAATAACACTCATGACCAGCTTTTTTAAAACAGATGTAGCAGCAGTCATAAGTGGGGTGTAGGACAGGTCATTATCTCGAAGTCCTAGGCCAAAAAAATGGAAGGAGGCATTCTTTGATAATTGATTTTAAGATAGGAGAGAGGCAGAAACAGAGAAACAGCCCTACACTGTATGTGTGTAGCACTACATACAAGTTCCCAGTGTGTTTCATTTGTCAGAAATCCCAATTATGGGTATCTTAGAGTATGTGAGATTATCTTTTAAGACTGAAGTTGTCAGTAAACCTCTTTGCCCACAGATATAGATGAGTGTAAGCTGATTCCAGGTGTTTGTGCCAACGGCATCTGTATCAACATCATGGGCTCGTACAGATGCCACTGTAAACCAGGATACATCGCATCTACTGCAGGAACCGCATGCGTCGGTATGCCACAAACACTCAGCACTGCTTTGTCAGTCATTTAAATCCATGTGACGTATAAAAGCATTATTGTTTGATATTCCTTGTGATCATGGTTGTTTGAACGTTTCTGTCAGATGTTGATGAATGTAGTATGTCCCCAAAACCCTGTAACTTCATCTGTAAGAACATGGAGGGCAGCTATGTGTGTTCCTGTCCCCGCGGTTACATGCTGCAGGACGACAGCAGGACGTGTAAAGGTGAGGAAGATGAGTCGTCTTCTTTTGGCCACTTATCTTAGAAATATTCTGTGCATGATACCTACACAGATCTTTCTTCATAGATATGTATGCATGCATTGTATGTCTGTGTAGTGATTTCAAGTTTAGATAGCCTCACACGGGGCACCACTAAATTAGTGATTTTAGATGTATGTAGCACCACCAGTGTAATGGCTTTGGGGTTAAATATAAATATTTAGTTTTGGTCACACTATTTTACGGGGCACCAGCCAGGAATATTGCCCTGACAATAAAGAACAATCATGGAAGATTGTTGAATAAATAAGAATTACATAAATTATAGGACGTTGTAGTCTGACCAATCTTAAGGATTTGAGAGATATCGTTAACTTGTAGAGCCTCTTACTGTATTATCAACACAAGGAAGAGTAATAAAAGGGGTTTTATTAACAAAAGGATAGACAAGAGTAACTAACAACTACTAAATGGGTACAATGAATGGATAAAGTGCAAAATTGATAGATGCAAGTGACTGAGTTGGAATGTTACTATGGATGTTATCTTATGGAAAGGTAAACTGTTCTAAATACACTGCAATCCTCAGCACACAGTCACTCACACAGTCAGATAATAGTAGAATAATTTACCCAGAACAGTGGGTTTAATTCAGTTTTGTCAGCATATAGAATACACAAAGTACTCTACACATATTATTATTATTATTAATATTATTATTAGTAGTAGTAGTAGTAGTAGTAAATTTATATAGCGCCTTTCCCAGGATCAAGGATGCTTTACAAGGTACATCAAATACAACAAATACTCATTACAAAGTAACAGTTAAGTGGAGATTGGACATTTGCCTAATCCAGTCACAGATAATGCAGTTGTATATAACACAAATTAAGTAATAATCATAATAGGAATCAAGTCATGTCAAGTCAAGTCATCTTAATTTGTATAGCACTTTATACAATACTGGTTGTGTCAAAGCAGCTTTACAGTTTAAAACAGGAAAATAGTTTGTCAATAATGCAAAAAGACAATAACTGATTCATTTTTCCAGCTAAAGTGAGTTCATTGATGATTCATTTACATTTATGAAGTCATTTAGCAGACGCTTTTATCCAAAGCAACTTACAAATGAGGACAATGGAAGCAATCAAAATCAACAAGAGAGCAATGATATGCACGTGCTATAACAAGTCTCAGTTAGCTTAACACAGTACATGTAGCAGGGGTTTTTCTTTTTGTTTTTTATTATATAATAAATAAAAAGAAAACAGAAAGAATAGAAAAAGAATAGAGCAAGCTAGTGTTGTTAATTAAATAATAAATAAAAAAACGGATAGAATACAAAAAGATTAGAGAAGCTAGTGTTTTTTTTTTAAGAAAACAAGAAGTTAGTAAATGAACAGAGTGCAAGTCTATAAGGGGCAATTTTTTTAAAGAATAGAATTAGAATAGAGAGTGCTAGAGTTAGAGGGTCAAATAAAGATGGAAGAGATGTGTTTTTAGCCAATTCTTGAAGATGGCTTAGCACTCAGCTGCTCGGATTGAGTTGGGCAGGTCATTCCACCAGGAGGGCACATTTAATTTAAAAGTCAGTGAAAGTGATTTTGTGCCTCTTTGGGATGCACAATAAAGCAACGTTCACTTGCAGACCGCAAGCTTCTAGAGGGTACATAAGCCTGAAGTAATGAATTTAGGTAATGGGGTGCAGAGCCAGTGGTGGTTTTGTAGGCAAACATTAATGCCTTGAATTTTATGCGAGCAGCTATTGGTAGAGGGCTTCAACAACTGAGAGCAAGGCAGTCTCGGTTGAATGTCCAACTCTTGAAACCAGACTGGTTGCTGTCGAGTAGGTTGTCGTAAGTAGAGGGGTTATACGAGCCTGTCTAAATGCTGAGGGAAAAACACCAGTGTGAAGGGATATGTTGATGTGAGTGAGTGCAGGTACAACTGCAGGAGAAATGGCTTGAAGGAGATGAGATGGAATAGGATCAAGCGGACAAGTAGTAGGATGATTAAAACGGATGAGTTTGGAGACTTCTGCCTCAGAGAGTGAAGAGAAGGATGTGAACGAGTGTATGTTTGCTGGCAAGATGTGCTTGACAGATTGTGTAGTGGAAAATTGTGCACTGATGGTTTTAATTGTATTAATGAAGAATATGCCAAGGGGCAGAAGGGATGGTACGGGCTGGCCTGTAAGACAAGGGGCAGACAGTGTCTAAACAAGATGTAAGAGTGGATCAGAAAGTACCAGTAGCACTGTTAGCATCAAGAGATGATAACTGTTTAGGGGGAGGAAGCGAAGATGAAACCAGATAGCCGGGACGGTGAGAGTGGGCGTAGGCTATGTCGAAAGATGACATTTGGAGGGGTATGTGTTGTGTCAGGAACCATGTTGAGGTTAAGAATGAGGAGGAAGTGATCCGAGGTGTGCAGTGGAGTAACGAGCACATGATCAGTGGAGCAGTGTCGTGTGTAAATAAGGTCCAGTTGGTCACCTTTAAGAGTGAGGAGGGAGTGATCCGAGGTGTGCAGTGAAGTAGCCAGTACATGATCAGTGGAGCAATGTCATGTATAAATAAGGTCCAGTTGGTTGCCTGATTTGTGAGTAGCTGTAGTTAGCACTCTCATGAGATCAAAAGAGGCAAGCAGAGTGTAGTAGACTGCAGCCTGAGGTTTATCTAGGTGGATGTTGAAGTCTCCAAGCATAACTAGGGGAGTACCATCCTCAGGAAAGGTTGAGAGTAGCACATCTAATTCATCCAATAAGTTACCTTGTGGTTCTGGGGGTTGATAAACAACTACAAAATGGATTTTAAAAAAGGTGGGTAATAGTGACTGAATGTGATTCAAAGGAGCTGTTAATACCCAGAAAAGGTAAATTAATAACTTTCCAATCATTAGAGATAAGCAGACCAGTACTTTCACTTCTTCCAGTCAGACGGGGAGTGTGGAAAAATGAGAAATTATTGGAGAATGCTGCAGGAGTAGCAGTGTCCTCTGGTTTGAGCCACGTCTCTGTCAGGGCCATGAGGTTTAGTCTTGAATGAATAGTAATAGATGTAATGAAATCTGCTTTGTTTACTGCAGACTGACAATTCCAGAGACCAATAGAAAAAGAAAGTAGTGTTGTGTGTGTGTATTGTGTGTGATGCGTGGTTTGTGAGTGGTAGTAATAGTAGGGATATGGAAACACATAGTAAGAATTGGTCATAAAAACTGAAACAGAAGTGAAGCAAGGTGTAGAAAAGAGGATGAATCAAAAGCGATACTTATGTCCCTTGCCGGTGTCCCTGCATGGTGGAGTCGCACGATAGAGTCGATGGTCTTTACACTCTTCGGTCTTCACACGAGGGCTGCTGCGACCGCTGATGAAAAATACTAACCTTTTTTATACTCGTTTGATTTGTCAAGGAACAAATCGACTGTGGCAAGGAACAACAGAAATTGAATTCAGCTAAACACACTTTACTGTTTATCACAACAAAGGGCTAAGCAAGCACACGACACTGACAAGGTATGCAAAACCGTACGAGACCAAACATGACTTCAGCACGTCTCAACGCAGTAAACAAAACAAGCATTTTCTAGCAATGACAACTGCCCTAAATACTAATGAGACAAGCAATAAATACACTTACAAGCGGCTTTTAACTTCCGCTGATTGACTGCTTCGCTCAAATAGTATTTCTTTACACTGTCTTTTGCTAGCGCTTGAACACACTTTACTGTTTATCACAACAAAGGGCTAAGCAAGCGCACAACACTGACAAGGTTCAAGATTCAGTGATGTCATCATCCAGTTCAGCTCTCTTCCAATAATGTCTGTGCAATCAGTCAATCGTCCCCAACTAAGCAAGCCAAAGGCAACCGTGGCAAGGAACCAAAACTCCATCTGTGACAGAAATGGAGAAAAAACCTTGGGAGAAACCAGGCTCAGTCGGGGGGCCAGTTCTCCTCTGGCCAGACGAAACCAGCATGGCGTGGTTGAATTCCAGGCTGCAACACGTGTGCAGAGGACTTGTCTGTTTCCCGTGGTCTTGCACCGATAGTCGTCAAGGTGACAGTCTTCAGAGGGGATCTGTCTCTGGGGTGCATCTAGTTGACATGGTCTAGTTGATATGGACTGGATCTAGGTGGGTACGGTGACCTCAGAATAAGAATGAAAGGGACTAATATTAGCGTAGATGCCATTCATCTTACGATGTAGTCAGTACATTGGGTGCTATGGAAAGTGTTCCCGGTTCCAGTTGACCTAATTAATGCAGCCTAACAATGCTTTAACAGATTTTAATTAGAAATGCGATAGTGTGTTATGTGTATGCCAGGTTAAAGAGATGGGTCTTTAATCTAGATTTAAACTGACAGAGTGTCTCTGCCTCCAGAACAACACTAGGTAGATTGTTCCAGAGTTTGGGCGCTAAACAGGAAAAGGATCTGCTACCCGCATTTGATTTTGATATTCTAGATATTATCAAATGGCCAGAGTTTTGAGATAGCAGCAAACTATAATGCGATATGAGATTTTAAAATGTATTCGTTGTTCAATAGGGAGCCATTGCAGTGTTTACAGAACCGGGCTAATATGGTCATACTTCCTGGTTCTAGTAAGAACTCTAGCTGCTGCATTTTGGACCAGCTGGAGTTTGTTTATTAAGTGCGGAGAGCAACCACCCAATAAAGTATTACAATAATCTAACCTTAAGGTCATGAACGCATGAATTAGCATAGGTCGCAATTTAGGTATATTTTTAAGAAAAATGCAGTTTTACAAATGCTGAATTTCAAATGATGAATTAATAATATTCATAAGAGGATCTATGACTTCTGGAAGCACCTCTTTTAGTAGCTTAGATGGAATAGGGTCTAACATACATGTTGTAGGTTTTGATGATTTGACAAGTTTATACAATTCTTCCTCTCCTATAGCAGAGAATGAGGGGAACTGTTCCTCAGGGGATCTATATGCGATACTGTGGCTAACGGCTGCATGGTTATACTTTTATCTCTAATAGTATCGATCTTGGAAGTAAAGAAGTTCATTAAGTCATTACTGCTGTGCTGTTGGGAAAGGTCTGCACCTGTTGATGCTTTATTTTTCATTAATTTAGCCACTGTATTGAAGAGAGATGAAAAGTAAGTAGATCTAGCAGTTTTTAGACCTTTTCTATAAGTACTGTAGAAGTACTTTCCTGCCATGCAATACGAAATACCTCTAGTTTTGTTTTCTTCCAGCTGCGCTCCATTTTCCGGGCTGCTCTCTTTAAGGTGCGAGTGTGCTCATTATACCACGGTGTCGGACTGTTTTCCTTTATGCTTAAAGAAGATTAAGGAGCAACCCTATCTAAAGTGCTAGAAAAGAGAGAGTCCATAGTTTCTGTTACAACATCAAGTTTTTCTGAGCTATTGGGTATGCTGAGGAATTGAGACAAGTCAGGAAGATTATTTATAAAGCAGTCTTTTGTGGTAGAAGTGATGGTTCTACCATATTTGTAACAAGGAGCTGAATTTGCAGCTTTAGCTATATGGAGTAAACATGAGACTAGATAATGATCCGAGATATCATCACTCTGCTGCAGAATTCCAACGCCATTAACATCAATTCCATGTGACAGTACACAATCTTAAGTATGATTATGACAATGAGTAGGCCCTGACACGTGTTATCTAACCGCAGTTTAGAATGTATATACAGTAAATGCTAATCCCAATGCATCTTTTTCATTATCAACATGAATATTAAAATTACCAACAATTAAGACTTTATCTGCAGCCAGCACTAACTCGGATAGAAAATCAGCAAATTATTTGATCAAGTCTGTATGGTGCCCTGGTAGCCTATATAGAGTAGCCAGTACAAAAGTCACAGGGGATTTATCATTTACACTATTTCTCTGGATAATGTTATATGAAGCACCATTACTTCAAACTTAGGTCTATAGATTGAAGGATTGTGATCAGCGAAAGAGCACATTGTGATCGGATCAGTCTTTGATCAATGGAATGCTGAAGTCCTCATTCGTGCCTTGCACAAATGATAAGCTTGAGGGAGAACAAAGCAGTTCCTGAACGGGGGGTTACTGTATGTTAATGTTACTCCCCTCTCCACAAGAGGTAGTGTTGTTTATCTTAAGGCACAATCATCCTTTGTTGTCCACAAAGCCTGATCTTTTCAGAATGAAACGGGGTTGCCATCTTGCTGATGTTCACTACATCTGATCCAGCATGTGCACAGTGTAACAGAGGACATGTGTTGTCATCTGAGGAATTAATTGTTAGTTGATGAGACAGCAGTCTGCATCATTGGGAAACATTTACTGACCATCATAGTAAGCCTTTTTAGACTTTGATGTGCTGAAATGTCCTTCAGATGTTTAGCTGCCCTTTTAAAAAGAAAGCATTGGTTTGATTTTAGTTTTTTTTATCTGTAGATGTGGATGAATGTCAGAGCAGACGACACAATTGTCAGTTCTCGTGTGTCAACTCCATTGGTGGATTCACCTGCAAGTGTCCGGCAGGCTTCAGCCAGCATCACACGGCCTGCAAAGGTGAAACACACATTCAGATGTCCCCTCAGATGGCCCTTTGACAACAAAAGCAGGAAACTTTACATCACTTCTTGATAAACACACAAGTAGTGCTTGGAAACATTACAGTTGTGAGTTTTGTTTCTGTATGTGATGATGATTATCATAAATGAAGTGAAAAGCAGTATGTCAGGTGAGTGTCACGACCTGTGATTTTCAGTGTTAAGGTGCTTCTTTCTGTCTTCACTTAGATATTAATGAATGTTTGTCTGAGCGGGGTCCGTGCGGTCAGCAGGGCATCTGTCAGAATTCAGTGGGCAGCTTCAGCTGTGAGTGTCCACAGGGCTTCATTCTGGACTCTCTCGGCCTCAGCTGTGATGGTACGGCTCTCTTTGTGTGTGTGTGTGTGTGTGTGTGTGTGTGATTGAAATGTTTTAATTGAATTTTTCTAGCAAGTTTTCCTTTCACCAGATCCATCATTTGCATTTAGCCTAAATGTAGGCTACTGTAAGATTGGAAATGTATTTTCTTGCCCCTGAAACACATTTTGAAAAAAAATTTGGGTATATGAAGATTGAAACTAAATATGTTTTCAATTTCATTAATAATTCACCACTTCAATGCTTATAACATATATTAAGCATGTATTTAAAATATACTGTTGCCAGAAAAAAATGCCATATGGGATATGTGAGCATGAATGAATGTTACGGGTGTGTGATAGGTGCATGTAGTTTGCAGTTTTTGAACTGAACTGCTGTTTCTGTCTCTGTCAGATGTAGATGAGTGTGCGCCTGATCACAGGTGTCAATTCGGTTGTCAGAATGTTGCGGGTGGTTTCCGCTGCAGCTGTCCAGAGGGATACACACAGCACCAGCAGTGGAACCAGTGTGTGGGTCAGTACACACACAAACCTTTCTCATTATTATTGTTCCTTTTCATATATTTACAGGATGTTGTAAATACATGAGCTCATGATTGTCATGTGATTAGTGTATGTGCTTCAGACTCATTGAGCCCATGGTGCTCACATTTTTAAAATTACAGTTGTAATTACAGTTTACATATGCTACTGACCTTTTCTGTCCTACAGATGACAATGAGTGTTTGAATCCGGGCAGCTGTGGTTCAGCATCTTGTTTTAACACATTGGGCAGTTTTAAGTGTGGCTGTCCATCTGGCTTCAACTTTGACCCCGTTTCCACTAGCTGTGAGGATGTGGACGAGTGTGTGTCCTTCATGAGCCCCTGCAGATATGGCTGCTCAAACACACAGGGTGGATTCATGTGTGGATGTCCGGCAGGATATTACAGAGCAGGACAGGGGTGAGACGTATACTAAATAATCTTACAGGTCATAGAATTATTGACTCATATCAGTGGTCAGTTTACAGCCACGTGTCATCTGAATAACAGTACAGGTAATAGTGTCAATAATGTATTTCATTATATTGTACAAATTATTCAACTATGCATAGGTTTGCGATTGTAGCTCCGTGTAGCTTTGTTTTTCTGTTGGAATCTTAGTTGGTATCTTACTATCACTTTCTGTTTTTTAAACTGCTAAAATATAACTTAATTATGACCATACTTCTGATATTATCTAACAAACTATTTTGACATTGTTTGCTTTTTAATCTAAACCACGAGTGCAGCACATTAGCATTCCGTTAGCCTGTTAGCTTGTCATTCGAGCCTACCGTTTCTTTTCTCTCTCACTCCATTTTTCATAAGTTCATCAAACAACTGTGGTAAGTCAGAGTCATTCAACAATCACGGTGAGTAATGGCTTCTTCTCCTGGTATTGTCACTTGCTATGTGCAAACTCATCTCTTTAAACGCTACTTAACTTCATCTTAAAAAAAAAAAAAAAACTTTTTCTTTCTCTTTATTTATTCCTTCCCTTTTCTAGCTTGTACTTATTTGAACAATGCCTAAAACTTGGTATTTCAAGCACTTCCTGTGTCTGTTTGCCTCTTTAAGAAGAATCGCTTTATGTATTCCCAATTGTAAGTCACTTTGGATAAAAGCGTCGGCAAAATACCTAAATGTAAATGTATAGTGCAGTGGCATAGTCACGAGCGGGCCTGGGGGGGCCTAGGCCCCCTCATTTACATGTCCAGCCCCCCCCAGATTTCTTATTGATTAAGAAAAATTAAGGAATTTAATGTTTCGGGGAAAACAGCAAGGAGTCTAACTTACCATTTTAATAATTTACTGATCAAGTCAAGTTAAGTCACCTTTATTTGTATAGCGGTTTATACAATACTGATTGTGTCAAAGCAGCTTTACAGTATTAAACAGGAAAATACTTTGTCAATAATGCAAGAAGACAATAACAAAGAGTCATTTTTTTCAGATAAAGTCAGTTCATTGATGATTCAATGATGTCATCATCCAGTTCAGCTCTCGTCCAATAGTGTCTGCAATCAGTCAAGTGTCCCCAACTAAGCAAGCCAAAGGAACCAAAACTCCATCGCTGACAGAAATGGAGAAAAAACCTTGGGAGAAACCAGGCTCAGTTGGGGGGCCAGTTCTCCTCTGGCCAGATGAAACCAGCATGGAGTGGTTTAATTCCAGACTGCAGCACTGGTGTAGATGTCTTGTCTGTTTCCCGTGGTCTTGTGCCGCTGGTCGTTGAGGTGATGTGGTCTTCACTGGGGATCTGTCTCTGGGGCGCATCTAGTGGACATGGTCTCCGCTGACATTCAGGGCTGTAGAGGTCATGTCTAGGTGCTGATCCACCATCTGGTCTGAATACGTACTGGATCCGGGTGACTGCAGTGTACATCGGGTGTTATGGGAAGTGTTCCAGTTAACCTAATGAATGCAGTCTAACTATCCTTTAACGGATTTGAATTATAGAAATGTGTTAGTGTGTTATGTGTATGCCAGGTTAAAGAGATGGGTCTTTAATCTAGATTTAAACTGAGAGTGTGTCTGCCTCCAGAACAACGCTAGGTAGATTGTTCCAGAGTTTGGAAGCTAAATAGGAAAAGGATCTGCTGCCCGCAGTTGATTTTGATATTCTAGGTATTATCAAATTGCCAGAGTTTTGAGAACGCAGCGGACGTGGAGGACTATAATGTAACAAGAGCTCGTTCAAATACTGAGGTGCTAAACCATTCAGGGCTTTAGGTTTTCAAACCTCTCCATGAAGTACCCCCAGCACTGCACATTTTGTATGTCTCCCTACATCTGACACACCCACTTCAGGTCTTGCAGTCTCCACTAATGAGCTGATGAGTTGAATCAGGTGTGATAGATGAGGGAGACATAAAAAAATGTGCAGGGCAGGGGGTCCTCCAGGACAGGTTTGAGAACAACTGTTCTAGGTATTATCAAATGGCCAGAGTTTTGAAATTGCAGTGAAGGACAAAAATGCAATAAGAGCTCGCTCAAGTAGTGAGGAGCTAAACCATTCAGGGCTTTATAATTAATTAGCAAGATTTTAAAATGTATTTGTTGTTCAATAGGGAGCCAGTGCAGAGTTGACAGAACCGGGCTAATATGCTCGTACTTCCTGGTTCTAGTAAGAACTCTAGCTGCTGCATTTTGGACCAGCTGGAGTTATATTATTTATTTATGCTAAATCAAAAAGTGGTTAGCTACTGGGGGAGCTTTTTTTGTGACAAGAAAACCATAAAAACATAAATAATATAACTATAAATATATATATATATATATATATATATATATATTACATTTTGACATTTAGCAGACGCTTTTATCCAAAGCGACTTATAAATGAGGGCAATGGAAGCAATCAAAATCAACAAAAGAGCAATGATATGCAAGTGCTATAACAAGTCTCAGTTAGCTTAATGCTACCGTTTAAAGTTTCTGCATTTGACATTGAGAGTATAGGTCATAATTTAGATATATTTTTAAGATGGAAAAATGCATTGCAGACGATTGACAGATAAATGCAGACGATTGACTGATTGCACAGACACTATTGGAAGAGAGCTGAACTGGATGATGACATCACTGAATCATCAATGAACTGACTTTTGCTGAAAAATGACTCTGTTATTGTCGTCTTGCATTATTGACAAACTATTTTCCTGTTTGACACTGTAAAGCTGCTTTGACACGATCAGTATTTCATAAAGCGCTATACAAATAAAGGTGACTTGACATGAGATGTTTTATGGTTGTAGGGCAAATTTAATGATACCTGGCTGAATAATAATTCAATTTTGCTCACAGGAAAGGACCGATAACATTTCTTTTACATTATGATGTTATTTTCATTACAATCTTTTATTAATGTATTTTACTGATTTTAGGATCTTCTTTTTCCAAAAAAATTATATTGTTTTTGTGTAATACAGTAAAAAAAAAATAATGATTACAATTATTGTAACAAAAATTACAATAATGAGAATAAGTATTGATGATTATGGGAATTACAAAAAAGTTCAGATGCATTACAGGAAACTTTAGAAGGGAAATTGTCATGAAACAGAAAAAATGGTCTTGGGGTAGACTTCAATTTCCTTTCAAAGTGGAACTTCGACACTTCCTCATGGTGTTGATGGTATGAAAACGCTTCTCTGTGACCAGTGTCTGAAGCACGAAAAGACACCGGCCTTAATTAGCTGACATGAGGTCAGGTGATGTAGCGTGCTGCATCAACAAGACCATAAAAGGCCACGGAATCCCTGGCTTCTTTGTCTTCAGGAAGCTTAATGTCTGTTTGTATTTGTGTGAATCATTGTGATATCATTCCGTCGTATTGTTTGTCTGTTTCACTCTGTGTTTTAGACAGTATGGCCAGCAGAAATGCTAAGTTTAGGAGTTGTACGTCAGCTCCCACCTGACTGCCTTCTTGAGGGATGGAAGTCAGGCTGCAATTTTGTGACTCTGGTCCCATGCAAACAGATCCCAAGTTGTTTGCATACAGTGATACAAAACAGCATATTCTGATGTTTCCATTTAAAGTGATAGAAGCACACACTCGGTATGTCCTCCAGACTGTGTAAAAACTTGTCATTGATTTACTGACTACATTTGACTCTGAGGAGTTCAATGTTGAATATGCATTTGGCTCTGAGAAGCTAAATATTAAAAATGCGTTTAGCTCTGAGAAGTTAGATATGGAGCATTACTCTGGGCCACATAGATATTGCTCTCCATGCCACCAAGCAGATGGTTTGCAACTATCAGCTGTCCCATTAACTGATATGGTCGTGGTGGAGCAGCATCTGTGATTAAAATATGACAGAGATTATGAAGGTGAAAATATCAGATAGGTCTGTTTCGCTAAATCCGTCACATTTGTGTTTGGAAAGCAACAGTCTCTAGTGGGATTTCTGTCCAGTCTGCTCAGTGCTGCCCCTCCCCACTTTTGCAACAGGAAGTTCTTACAGGTTTGCTTTCAGGGTCAGTGCATACCAGTATTAGCTTCTTGGGTTCTGACAGAGGCTGTTGTTGGGTCTCATGGCAGCAGCAGCCATTGTAATCCGATTCTATTGGCGACTTCAACATCCACCTTGAAGCCACATGCTACTGACTTCTAGTAGTGGGCTTAACCCCACTGGTACCCATAAATCAGGTAACCAGCTCGACTTCATCTTTACACGCAACTGTATCACAGATAACATCTTGGTCAAACCCTTTCATGTGTCGGATCATTTCATTATTACTTTTAATCTACATCTACCTTCTTCTGCACCACCAAACCCTCTGCCAGTTTCATTTAGACGAAATCTAACGTCTCTTTCTCCTTCTCGACTCTACTCTGTGATATCGACCTCTCTTTCCACCCCCACACATTTCTCATCATTAGATGTGAATTGTGCCAGATACCTTATTTTCTACCCTAACTATCTGCCTAGACAATATCTGTCCCATTTCCTCCAGACCAGCACGTGCTACTTCACAAACAAAACCACATCCATCAGCAGTCAGTTCATGGCTCCAATAACCCAGGAACTCACAGCAAACGCTCACACAGCTGACCATCTTCTCTCCTCCTTCTCTCCTCTTACAGAAGATGAAGTCTCTAAACTTTCTCTCCAGCCTCCCTACCACCTGTCCTCTAGACCCAATCCCCTCACATCTCCTACAAGCTATTTCCCCTATACTTCTGCCTTCACTCACACACACACACACAACCCTCTACATTGCGAGTAAATAAATCACTCGCATATGCGACTAAATAATGTCTATCGTTAGCCATTGGCTAATAAATTCTTAGCCTCCAACTCACACACTGGCGAGTAAAATCTAAGTATAAGTTTAGCACATATATATTTTCACTCACTGACCACTCTGACTGAGCGCTTGAGAGTTTCGATCTCCATCAAGCGATCTGTGCT